TTGACTATTTTTGATGTAATCAATATCAAAACCCACTTTATAAAATTCTTTGAAAATATAATGTTAAAAATAGATTTTTAAATCAGAAGTGGCAGTGCTATAAATATCTCTGAGGATGGTAAGTCGTGTAACAAACAGACATTGTCAACACAGACTTAAACATCTAAAAAGTGAAATGACGTGTTCCCATATTCAAAAATAGTAACTTACTCAATATACATTTCATACAGATGTAAAAGTGTAAACTTTCTATTTCTGTCATCCTCAGAAAATAATTGTTATCCTCAGAACTGTATATTTGTTTAAAACACAAGTTAATATCAAAATGAAACAATCATATTAAAATATACACAACATGATTAACTTTGTTATTATAATATATTTGAATAATTGCATAAATTACAAAGATATTAATTATTTTGTTATTTTAAAAATGCATTTTTAGAAAATCAGTGTTTTAGACTTTTTCAATTTTCATATTGATAAAAAACAATTATCAATTTAAATGTAAATTTTAATTATTATGTTATAAAGACGGATTCGAAAATAATTTCAATAAGTATATAATCATAATATGAACACGTTTAATTCATGTTTTGTTATTTCCCGTCTCAAGTTCGCGAGATATAATTATTGTTTTTGTTTACTGATTATTGTGGCGATTTTTTGATTGTTTTAAATTGTTTGGCATTTATGACAAATTATTACCATCATTTAAAAATCGAACTTTGACTCGAAATATTAAGTGTAAATTATAACTTGAGTTATGAGAGTGGGCTTTATGGGGAACTGAACCTTATGGATTTGTTTTTTGTATCCTCAGAAAAATATTTTTTAATAAGGATAGCTTTGATCCTGAGGATACACCTTATCCTCAAGAAACCCTTAAGAATGATTGGTATCTTCGACTCTTTCACATATTCCAAAACAGATTTCAATCACTTCTCAAACAGTCCTCTGTACTGCTACCAGCAATCAGCGTATATATATCAAGTGCTATGACTCTACACTACAAGTTTGAAGGAATAATCCTTTTGCTATTCATTGTGCCCAAATTCGACAACAGCTGCTGTATTACCAACACCGGGCTCATTAATCAAGACGGGGTGTTTTTGTGACTAAATTGAATGTTTTGTCATTAAATGAACAACTTCTTCTTGAAAAAATCACCTCCCAACAAACCAAAGTCAAGAAGAAAAAACGTGAGATAAACTCCAAAAAGTGATGGTAAACTAAATAATATTTGGTAATTTTAAAAAACAAGTTGAAAAGTTTGATAAAATGTTGACTGCTCAAAAAGATGATTTATTGAAAAAAAACTTGAGAAGGAAAGAACAATGAAATATGAGGTAAAGAAACTCAATGACTTGGAGCTATAATTACAGATTCAATAAATAAAAATATTACAACAAATTCAATTGATATTTCAAAAAAAAATATTTTCTGTGTCTGTCGATGTGTGTCAAGTAGTTTGTAATAACCAATTTTTGATTGAAGTGACTACATGTCAAAATATAATAAAAAGCAACAAAGTTGATTTTTACAAGAGAAGCTTTTAAAAGGTATAAACATTTTGAAGTTTTTACACATATTATTTATTTATCAATTTCAATGTATTAACTGTCAAAAACAAATCACAAGGGAATGACGGATTTGGATTGTGTAATTATTGATTGATTGTTTTCAGAAATTTTAAAAACATTAAGCGTTTTTAAAGTATTGAAGTCTATTAATACCATCATTAAGTTATACAGTTTTAGTGTTTATCGTTTGTGTTATATGTATGAGAGTTAGTAATAACTGTTGTATTTTGTTTTAAATTTGTCTTGAAACTTCAATCTTTTCAATTTTAATTATGAAAAAAAATGAAAAATGAATAGATAACTAAACCAAATATTATTATTTGTATTGGTTTTGGATTTATGTTAATGATTATTTATATTGGTTTTAAATTTTTGTTGAGTTCTTTTTAGTAAATAGTAATTCAATGTCATATTCAAACAATTAGCGTTATTGTATAAACTTTTATTTATCATTCTTCGAACCATTGTCCAAAGAGTGATCTATGTCCTATTAGTTTGCAACGCATTTCTAACAACAAAACTATTAATCAAAAGTTCATTATTTTAAATGTTTTAAGTATTGTGAGAAATGTCAACTTCACATAATTTAGTTAGTATATACAAAACATGTTAACACAACAATTTTGAAAAAGTATAATAAATGATCATTTTTTAAATTCTAATTAACCATTTTCATGGGTAATT